GTGCCATAAAGCGCTAGAGCCATCAAAACCCCGAACAGTGAAAGCCTCACCCCATTAATCTAGCCCTTGCTTAAGCACCCACCCATTCATCATTCAGGGTTTAGCGGTTTAGGGTTTAGGCGTTTAGGGTTCAGGGGTTCAGGGTTTGCTGCGACCCAATAACCCCTAAACCCAAAAGCCCCTAAACCCCCAAACCCCATATCCCTCAAACCCCGAATCCTTCGCACTAAGTTCTGGTTTTCTACTGGGCTGGGGAGTGCCTTAGAACACACACCGTCATCGAAGCTGGGGTTGCCAAGGCAGGCAGCAATCAGCAACATCAGGGCAAGAGTGCGCGCGTGAAAAGATTCGTTTCGTCTGCAGCTGATACTCTTTAGTACATCTGGGCTCTGCGTCCGAACATCCGAAGCTGGAGAGTCTGAACCCACGCATCCTCAAACCCTAACAACCCTGACGCTGCTCCTAGATCCTTGCCAGGTACACTCCGATGCCGCCGCGACCACTGGCAGCGTTCTGCAAGTGGGGGATCAATACCTCATCCGGTGCAGATCTCCATGTTTATTTGGGCTGTGTTGGGCCGGAGAATCAGGGTGAATCAGGGCATTTGGGGATGATGAGTTTGGGGCTATATTCAGGATAGGGCTAGGGGCCGGGTGGATTGTATTATTGTCGCTCAAGGATTTAGGGTTACTTCGGATTCCCATTCCTCTGATGTTTGGATCACTGTGACTGGAATCCAGGTTATGAATTTAATGGTTCAGAGGTTTCGTGGCCCAGAAGTGAATTTGCTTAATGCACCACTCAACAACGAGGTCATGGGGTAGCGGCTCCAGTTATTGCACTGCCATGCAACACCGCTGATGCTCATGATGCGCGTGTCTTGTCCGCCCCCAAACCTGTTTGTCCTGCTGTATGACGGAAGGCTTGGCTCTGTAGTTCTGCAGTTCTGCAAAACCAAATTAAAGCAGGGTATCGAAGTTGCCTGTTTGCAGATCATCCGTAACGCTGCAGCAGACATCGTCAAACACAGTCTGGTAGTGCATGCGAAGTGAGGAAGGACTATCCGGCGACTGATACATTATGGAGCCCCAAAGGCTGCCTGCCTCATTTGTGCCGGTTGTATTTTGCTGGGACCCAGAAGCCACCAGTGCTCACTTCCCAACATCTCAAACAGATCTAGCATCCAAGTTTCAAACCCCATAGCTGCTTGCCGAGACCTTGGTTCAACCCAGGCTTTCATCATGCTGGTGGTGCTTGTGGCTTCCCTACGGATTGGCCTCGGAGGCTCTCATTATCAGGTTGTAGAGTTCTTCGCAGGGCAACGAAGGATCTGTAGATTGGCTGCCAGCATCAATCTCACGGTGCAAGCGCATGACCTATCATACGACGACAACCTTGACAGCGCCTTCAATACGGTTGATGATATAAATCCTGCATGACCCATAATAAGGAATATACCATAATTTCCACATTTTAAGGTCCCTAAGGTCATGCAGGATTTATATCATCAACAGTATCAATCGGGAATCTGGTTTTCTGCCAGCTGCTTACTATCGCTCTTCTAGTGGAGTTGCCACGCAATGAGCTGTGATACGTAGCTCTCAGTTTTCTCCCTATCTCAAAATCCCAGGCTGGCTTTGGCGAGCATCCTCCATTCCAAATGGAACGACGTGCTATGCCCGCTGGGAGTTTGCTGCAGCTCTTGGGTATCGATAAACAAAGGCACTAGTCGGCGTTCGGAGGCTCTTCCTATGGGAGACCCAAGCCGCCCATCGGTTGCAGCTTCAAACCAAATGGTTGCCAGGCACAACTTGGGGGAGTAAGACTGGGACTAGGACGGTGGGTTCTGGGTTTAGGGGAGTTAAGGGTTTACGCTTCGGTGTTACAGATTTGTTGGCTTTAGGGTTGCAGTAGTCCCATCAGCGAGACCTGCGGTTCTCAAGTGTATCTAATCTAAGCGAAAACCACTTCGCTGAAGCCACAACCCTCAGACCCAGCCCAACAATGTATACGGTGCACCAGACGACGCTGTAAACAAACCCAACCTCAGGGTTCAGGGTTTAGGGTTTAGGGTTCAGGGTTCAGGGTTTAGGGTTGTTTAAGGCAGCTTCTTCTTGAGTCATGTTTTCCCCGGTGGTAGAGGCCGTCTTCGCGGTGAATCCGGAGGAGCGAAATAGCCCCAATCCCCCAACCCAGCATCCCCTGCAGCCTGGAGTCTATAGTTGTGCATTGTGCTGGCAGGGTGGCACTCCTGCTCCTTCTCATCCAGATGGCGGGTGGGGCCTGGGTTGTGGAAAACCCAGCTTCCAGTGTTGTGTTCAAACACGACCGTTTGCAGTGGCTCATTCGCTTTCTGAAAAGGTGCCGCATGTATGTAGCTAGCTTGCAACAAATCAGAGATGAGTAGGGTTGTATTCTCCTTTACTGACACCTAGATAGAAGAACTCCCGTACCAATACAAGGTATGGCGCACCTCATTCAATATGGGCATCTATGGCCACGCCGCAAAGAAACCAACGAAGATCTGGAGCAATGCCTTTGATGTCTTCTTTCTACAACGAGCACACTCACCCCTGAAAGTTCCAAATCCCAGGCATACTGTCATGACGAAGAGATACGTGGACAAATATGGCACCACGCGCTTTACTGGCACGCCTCTTCTCAAGCGATCCCAGCTGCTGGGCCAGGCATTCAATTTTGGGGGCTTCAGGTTTGGGTGGCGGGGGTGCCGGGAGGTGGTGGTGGTGTGGGTCGTGTGGGTGGGTGGCGGTGGTGGTGGTGGTGGTGGTGGTGGTGGTGGTGGTGGCGGTGGTGGTGGTGGTGGCGGCGGAATCGTGAAATGGGGGGGTTGTGTTCACTTCTTGAACAGCTCAGGCTGTACACCCCGAAGTTTGCAGCTAGGCTGCTACGTTTAAGACCGAGATTGCTACAGACCAAGCCCAAGATTCCATGGGCTCCTGGGCGGGGTTTGAGGCATCTTGCATTTTTTGTAGCATGCTAGCCTGGCCGTTTTTTTCTTATGTCTTTAACTGAGAATGCATGCCAGGTTTCCTCACACAAGAGCACCACGGAGCTCTTTCGGGATATGACGTTCAATGATATGTGGGAGGATGCAGGCCTCCCTGACTGCATTGCCTATGCTCGAGCTTCGAAAGTTTTAGAGCTGAGTGACGAGTGGCGACGTGTGCTGCCCGAAAGCATACCATGCTCCTCGGGGTGAAATGCTTCTAGCTCAATTGCAGGTCAAGTAGTTCAGTTGCATTCGGAGGTCTGCTTTGTGCCTGAGGAGACATAATTTTGATGCCAAAACACCAATTGCTGTGTTTTGAGACGTTTTTGCATCCGCGAATTGCGGCGGAAATACCCGACATTGCGGCGGAAATACCCGACATTGCGGCGGAAATACCCGGAGAGCCTCCCGCACCATGTGCAGCAATGCCCCAAAACCTTCTTTTCAGAGCATTTCTTGTCGATGCACCCAGGTTCGAGAGTACTTTTAGCATGCGACCCCTTGCTAGTCGTGTGTTGAGCACAGAGAGTCTGTGCCGGGGTGCTGGCATCCTTCGTCACCAAACCATGTCGTTGGAACATGATGATGAATATGCTCAGCTGATGGCCGAGAAGGATCGGCTCTTGGCTGCTTGTCTGTCGAGATGAGATACCTTTGGACTTTGGCTGTCGGCTGTTGTGAACCTTTTCCGTGTGTCGTACCCCAGGCTTTGAAGGCGGCAGCAGCGGAAGTCAAACCGACTCTGCCGTCTCCGGCTTCCTGGCGCTCTTCGCAAACAGGGTCCCAGGTTGAAAGTGCTGTGTCCTCACTGAAAGAGACGCAGGCCGGGGATGTCAGTGTTTCTTTGTGCTCCGTATTTATAAGTTGCTGGTGCTTCTCCAATAGATTTTCAAGGTTGAGAGCCCCGGGCCCGTGGATGCCAACAACTCAGTGGAGCTACAGGCCAAACAGCCAGTGGCTAGAGTTGCCACGCCGCGACTGAGAACTGGGAAAGGCTGCGGGCACGCTGCGCCACCGGCAGCGCCACCCGCCGCAGCGCGCCACACCGAGCCACAGTCCGGGCACCCAGCAGAACCTGCTGCGAGCCTCGCCGAGCCAGAGTCCGGGCGCCCAGAAGAACCTGCCGCAGCACCGGCAACGGAGCCAGAGTCCAAGCCGCCCGCAGCACCGGCAACGGAGCCACAGTCCAAGCCACTCGCAGCACCGGCAACAGAGCCACAGGAGCCACAGTCCAAGCCACCCGCGCCACCAGCACCGGCAATGGAGCCGCCGCTCCAGCGGCACCCAGCACCTCGCCCCACAGCACGCAGAACCGATCCGCAGTCCGGGCACCCAGCGCCACGCCCCACAGCACGCAGAACCGAGCCAGAGTCCAGCCACCCAGGGCGGCCAAGCAGTGCTGCTGCTGCTGCTGCTGCTGTGAAGCAGGAGCCCGATGAGGACGACATCGACCGAGCGGCGCTGGGCAAATGCAGAGACCCGCCCAAGCAACTCACCAAGGCGGCCGTGGACCGCAGACTCTACAGGATCGTGCAGCCGAGAGCAAACGGGGAGTACAAGGTCCCGAAAGACGTTATCGACACATACAAGGACAAGGACCGCCGACCGACTTTGATGTCCATGTTCGAGAAACTCGGATATGATCCAGCCTCTCGGGCTCAATTTCATTTCCTTAGTCTTTCCCGCAGTTGTCGATGTCTTCATGCACAGATAACTGTTGCAGCCCCGCCCTGCCCTGCCCCACCTCGCCCTTTGCTCCACTTGATAGTAGCCCATGGAAAGAAGATGTGGGAAGTTGGACACCCATTTTTCGCAAAGAGTCGTCATGTAAATTTACGTGACGACTTTGGACACCCTAAAAGCGAGCATGATGAGCATCAGCCGGGTTTGGGCCCTGTTAAAGTCGATCTCCCGAACCAAAAATATTCACTCAAACGAGAATTCATCTATCATCCGCTCAGAAGCTCTTCGTGAAGAAGATCAAGCACCTCTACGAGCGGGTCCACGAAAAGTGGGTTCAAACCGATTATGAGTTCATGACGGATGCTGACATGGAGGCAGCTGGATGGTCGGAGCGTCTCCCCACAACTTAACCGACTGTGCTTCGTCTCGTTGCCTTGCTTCATGGTTACATGCAGCCCAGTCTCAATGCTCAGGAAGAAGCGCAAGAACGTGAAGCGGTATTGTGCTTCGCGCCCTGGATGGATCAGGCCATTTCAACAGCCTTAGAGAGGGTTTCCAGGATTTGTGACATAAAGGCTTATTTCTGGGGATTTTAGGGTTTAGGTTGTGTGGTTTTGATGGCCAGGGTTTGGGCCCTATTAACGGGTTGCGGGTCCTAGGACCGGAGGACATAAGGGCTTAGGTCTGGGGGTTTTAGGGTTTAGGTTGTGTGGTTTTGATGGCCAGGGTTTGAGCCTTATTCACGGGTTGCGGGTCCTAGGACCGGAGGACTTAGGCTTCTAGGGTTTAATGTCTGGGGCTTTGGAGCAACAGCGCTACTAGTTACTGTGGCTACCACTAACGCTACTACGAATAGTAATACTTACTTTAACAACAACAAGAGGGAAAGTTCTGTGTCTCTGTTCACGTTTTATTTGGCATAATGTCTTTGTTGACTTATTGATTTATTGGTGTGTCTCCCACTCTTTGTAGCAGGACATAGCCGGATTTAGGGTTCAGGGCTTGGCTTCGAACTTAGCGCAAGTAGTGCTACTAGGGCGATGATTATTACAGCTACGGCTGCTATTGCTTTTATTATAGCTATCTCTAAAACTACTAGCGTCAGCAGTTCTACCACTCTTCTACTATTACGACCACTACTACTGCTACTAAGTAGTATCAGCAGGACTACTGAAACAGGAGGGGAAGCTCAAGAGCAAGCTTCTAGATCTGTTGTCTGGGTCGAGGCAGAACACGAACCCCTAAACCCATAATTAAGCCCCCCACTACCCCGGCCACCCCAAGAGTAAGTTGAAGGCTGCGGGTCCCGTGGGTTTACATGGAATCAATCACCGATCGTGTAATTGGGCTTTGGCTTTGGACCACCTGTCCCAAACTGATATCGTGTTCGACTACCCCAAATCAATCCCTACCCCACAGCCCTAAACCCGCTGGACCTGTGTTGCGCTTGCTGTATAGTATTAGTCTCCACTGGCAGGCAGAGCGACTACGGAGAGGGTGAGATGTACTGGGCGGCGGTCAAGATTCATGGAAGCAACAAGCCCCGTGGCTACTACTATGTGCAGGACAACTGATTTTGTAGAGAACGAGCAAGATCACCCGAAGCCCTGGAGTCCCAACTTGAACCCCCAAACCTGTGGTGCCATACCTCCTTAACGCGGATCTCGGTTGTAAACCATGTTGTATAAATAGACTCTGCCGGGGCCCACTGCAGGCACACCAAGCGCACGGTCTTCCAGGAAGCCTTGGAGGGCGAAGCTGACGCAGATGCGGATGATATGATTGAAGAGATGGATGAGGATTGTGACCCAGGTGAGCACGAGGATGATGGCGAGGGTGTCGTAGCTGGAAGTTAAAGTCCGAATTTCGACTGTGTCAATTCGTGAGCTTGTGTAATCAGGCTGCTGGCTATTCGTAGCTAAGGTCAGATGGAGGCTGAGAGTGTCTCTTCCGAGAGTGAGAACGAAGACAGAGGGAAAATCTTGAGATCAATCAAGTGCCCGGACATCGAGACTGACCAGAAGCCTTCGGAGATTTGCAGCCGGATGGTGAAAAGTGCACAAGCGGTTGTCAAGAAAGTGAGCAATGTGGCCTCAAGGCTTCAGGCTGTGGAGAAAAAATCCGGGCAACAAGAGAAGCATCGATCTTAGGATACTCTTCGTGTGTGACAGCAAAGTTGATGCATGGCGACAAACGTGTGCTCCTCTACATAATTTGAAATCATTGAAACTCTCAAGGATGCTGGAGAAGTTGATTGAGCTGGTGAGCTCAATCTCAGGGTACGACGATGAGATGTCGCAGATCTACTCTGCGGGCATGATTCATGGCTTCAGGAAAGAGATACTTGGATTTACAATCGCACGCAAGTTTATCTTTGCCAGACCTGTGCTTGCCTCCCTTCCACAGCCATGAGGCAGCAGAAGCAGCTGCGCAAGATGTTCATCGATGTGAAGAGCAGGTGCATACCTCGGTTGGCCCAAGTCTTCATTCAAGGGTAGGTCGAGTTGTTGTTTCCGATACAGCTCCTGTTCGTCTTATGGCTGGTATCAGACATGACGTTGCTCCAGTCCCTCGCACTCTCTCTCCTTCTCTCTGTTTCTGTCTCTCTATCTCTTTCCGTCCGGATGCCAGGCTCATTGAGGCCATGTGCACCGTTGATCGTGCCAAGCTTCTTATCTTGAATGGAAATCGGGGGCTTAGTGTGGTTACAAGAAGGAGAGCGCAAACCCTCAGCCTGCAGATAATATCAAAGAAACCAACTAGTCTTAAACCCTTAGTATCATAACCGAAGAAGTAAAAGTAGACATCTTGGGATTTGGCTCGGGGTTGGGATTATGTTGAGCGCATGCTCCTCCAATAAGCGAAGCAACGTGTTTTGTTTGTGTCCCCCAGTAATATGTTTTGGGTGTCCCCCAATAAGCAAAGCAACATGTTTTGAGTGTCCCCCAATAAGCAGAGCAACATGTTTTGGGTGTCCCCCCCAATAAGCAGAGCAACATGTTTTGAGTGTCTCCCAAAAAGCAGAGCAACATGTTTTGGGTGTCCCCCAATAAGCAGAGCAACATGTTTTGGGTCCCAATAAGCAGAACAACATGTTTTGAGTGTCCCCCAATAAGCAGAGCAACATGTTTTAACTGTCCCCCAATAAGCGTAGCAACATGTTTTAAGTGTCCCCCAATAAGCAAAGCAACATGTTTTGAGTGTCCCCCAATAAGCAGAGCAACATGTTTTGGGTGTCCCCCCAATAAGCAGAGCAACATGTTTTGGGTGTCCCCCAATAAGCAGAGCAACATGTTTTAAGTGTCCCCCAATAAGCAGAGCAACATGTTACTACTCTACTACTACTACTACTACTACTACTACTACTACTACTACTACTACTACTACTACTACTACTACTACTACTGCTGCTACTCCTACTACTACTACTACTACCACTACTACTACGACTACTACGACTACTACGACTACCACTACTACTGCTGCTACTACTACGACTACGACTAATACTGCTGCTACTACCACTACCACTACGACTACACTTGGGGAGTAGGGTGGCTAGTCTGGCTATGGTTACTGCTGCTCATGTCAGAATACGAACGATAATGTTAATGCCACATTTCATGCGCTGCTGCTGCTGCTGTTGCTGCTGCTGCGACTGCGAGTGCTACTGCAATTGCTTCAGCGGCATCTATCATTGCTCCTAGCGACGGTGGCACGCTCATGCTACTTATTTGCTACTTCTGTTAATCTTTATATCGAATTTTTTTTGAGATGACAACCTCCATTATGCTCGTGCCCGATCGAGGACTTTGGCTCCCAAGCCAGTGGCAGCGGCGGAGGAGCCCAATCGTGGGAAGCCCAAGAACAAGGCCAAGGCAAAGGCCAAAAGCAATGGCAAGCGAGAGGAAGCCCCGGCCCCTAGCTCTCCGACTCCGAAGAAGAGGGCCAAGAAGTGATCTTGCGCTTTCGAGCCTTCGAGCCTGTTAGGTTCTCCTCTAGTGTATGGCTGATCTGCATAATATGTGTATGTAGACTTCTGAGTTCGAACCACTGGAACATCTAGGATGTTGCTGATGCCAAAATGGGCCGCAGGCAGCCATCGATCTTTATTCGGCAAGACTGCTTGCTGCCGAAGCGCATCATGTCTTAGGATGCATCTTTTGCCGAAGGTACCTCAGTTGCTGTGGTATGATCCATGGCTTGCAAACCCAGGTAATTCATCTGGACAAACTCCAGCTGCAGCGGGGTGTCTCTGTGTGTGCCAGAAAAGCAACATAGGCCTTAGAGGTAAACCCTACTACTGAAGGCATTAGGTAACCCATGCAAAGCCCCAAAAACCCGAGAGTGCAGAATAATTATACTAAACAAGAGTCCCGAAAGCCTCAAAAGTCTACGAGTTGAAAGCTGTCTCCTTGCTGTAAGCCCACACTTCATACCACGGCAAGTCATAGGATCTGTAAATCAATAGCTCGTGTATCTACCATGAACCGCTTAATCTTCGATCTCTTAAACCCACGGCCCTAGCCATTCAAAAGCTTCAAGCCCCGGTGGATCCGATCGTCCCTGATCCTGGTTGCAACCTTCAAACCCGCGAGATCGAGAATACTTTCATGTTACATGAGCGGAGTAGCAAGTAACCATCCTCGCAACTTCAGAGGCTCAGTGTTAATGATCGTAATCAAACACCAGACCCGACCCACTGATCCCGACCCTGCAAAACCCACTACACCTACAGACTATCCTAAACTTACGGCAGTCTTGCCAGGTGCCAATGTAACTTCGGGCGATGTTGCTGCGCAAGATCTCTCTGTGTTCGCGGAGATGCTTGGCGAGGGCAAGGCTCTGTGGCTACTGTCCGGTGAGCCTAAATCCGCAAAACCTTAAACCCCTAAACCCTAAACCCTATACTGATGTTTACGAGTTCCTAGCATTTCACCTCGAAGTTGAAACTCCACAAGCAATGAACCCTGAAATGCCAACGTGGTCCCCGATGTAATCAGATGGGTTGGGGTTTTCAGCGGACTTTGCTGCTTTGTAGTTTCACTGCTGCGGTTCGAGAGGGCTTTGTGGTCTGGAAGTTCAAGGTTCCGGGGTCTGGTTTGTAGAAATTCCTGCCCATGAGGGTTCAGGGTTAAGGGGGCATAGGGTCCCCAGATACGTGTTTTAATCTTTGGAGTGTATGGCCTGGGGTTTAGGGTTTCGTTGTGCGGTGGGGTTTAACGTTGCGCCTTAGGTTTTTGGAGGTTTTTTTTGCAACTCAGGTTTCCGCGACCTCTGTGAAGCGAGGCTACACGGCTGCGCTAGGCAAGCCACCGCCTCCTCCTAAAGAGGATGGGGGACAGCCAGCACCCAAGAATGCTGAGCGGGATGCTCACCGCCTGTTTTCAAGGCTTGGTCTGTCGCTCAAGCTGCCTATTCGCACGAAGACATTCGCTGTGGATGATGGAGAGGCAGTGGAGATGCACTACATCCGTATCGCTGATTGGGTAAAGTATCTCTTGAAGACACCCAGCCTTCTGGCTGGCGCAGGAACTGAGAAGCTGGAGTCTCAGTGCCGTGCGTTTTGGACCATGTACAAATGGCACCACCCAGATCACGTTGTATTCCACAATGAAGACAAGCTGTCTACTACGCTGCCCTTGCTGCTCTACGGGGATGAAGGCAAAGGCCCTCGTCGTGGGAACTATATGGTTACAACCATTGAGCTGCCTGAAACAACATGCACCATTTTATTTGTTTGCCGTTTCGTAGAACCTAGCAGTGTTAAGTATTGCTTTGCATGTGAGATCGATCACGAAGGAGTCCAATGGGTTGTTACGAGTACGATGCTGAGCAGGTTACTTGTGACTGTGCTTCGGTCGTTGCGCCACTCCGCCAGGAAGTTCCCGACTGCTACGGTCCAGTGGCACAGCAGCCTGAAAGTGTTTTGGCTGCAAAGTTTGCTTCCACAGTCAAGAGGCACTCCTACTTGACTCGCCACGTCCTCTTCGGCATACCAGACTTTGTCTACAAGGATCATCCAGAGATCTATCCTCTCATGATGGACCTGGTCGCTGCCGAAGCGCAAAGCCTCTTCGAATCTGGACTATTGATATCCAACAAGAGGTATCACGTGGCGTTCATTGGGTGCAAAGGCGACATGAAGCACCATGCTCAAGTCGTCTTCAACTTGAGAAGGTCCTATGCACGGGTGACTGCAGCGGGTGACCAGGGCATCTGCTCGATGTGCCAAGCAGGAGAGAGTGGCTTCCCATGGGAAGACATCAGTTCCGACCCTTTGTGGTCCAGAACTATGTATGCGAGCAGACCGTGGGATATCGCTCCACCACTCTCCGCAGTGCCATTCGATGAAAGCGCACCAGAGCGCTTCATCCGACTCGACCTTTTTCATGTCGTGAAAGTCGGTATCGCTCGCGACCTGGCAGGAGGCATTGCGCTGCTGTGTCGTCTCAGCTTCTTCGATGCTCCGGGCGACTACACCAACATTAACGACCGACTGCACCGGGCTCACGCTTCGTTCAAGCTTTGGCTGAGTGCGAACAATGAATCTGCTGCGCTTCGCTACTTCAGCCCTGCTTTGTTCAACCTGCAGAAGCGCCTGACAGACTTTGCTTGGACAAACACCAAGGCCTCGGACACAGTACTGCTGGTGCGGTACCTACACTGGTTCGTGTCGGTGGAGCTGACGAATCCTTCGGAATCTGGGAAGCAGCACCGAAAGCTGCTCCGACTGCTACAGTCGGCGACGAAGCATCTTGGCACAGTCGCCTTAACTGAATACTGAAATGTAAGTTAACCAACGTCTCTGGTACTCGACTTCACAGTTATCAGGTCCGCTTGTGTAGTCTGACCCCAAGGTACAGCTTTTGTCGGGTTGTGATGGTGTTTGTAAATACATGTTGCAATGTTGTTCCGAGACTGCTGCCCCAAAGCATCAGCCAAGGCACCTGCTGGCTGTGTTGAGAGTCTGTTACACACACGCCGTGTTTCTGCCTCGGACGTGTGCGCAGCGTCTTTTTATAAATCTACAGACATTCCTGGGTGCTTACAAGGCATTGGCCCGACATGCGTTGGATATTCGGATGATGTTTTTTGGACTTAAGCCGAAACTGCACGCACTCCACCACATTCTGTGGGATGTGAAAGAAGCACTCCGTTCGCCCGCCCCTCTGGTGCTTAATCCTGTCGTTTTCAGCTGTGATGGAAACGAAGACACGGTGGGGAAAGTTTGCACCGTGGCTTTATCAGTCAGCACACGCACAATCAACTTGCGTGTGCTTCAAAGATATTTCTTGAAGAACTCCGCTGTGGTGAAGCGGCACAAGGCAGCTCGCCAGAGAGCAGGGCTGAGAGCTTGAGCCGAAGTTGATTAGACATTCACGTAAACCCTGGACCCAAAAGCCCTAGTTTCTGAACCCTAAACCTTAAGGAAGCACCGAGGCTTGGTTGATTATGGGTTAAAGTGTATCTTAAACTCCCAAACCCTAAGCCCTGAACCCTAAACCCAAGGGTCGAAGGTTAAGAGACTCAAGCTTCCTGCTCCGGCTCTTGAGACGAGCTTCGGCCACATGGGAAGCGCAGCTGCTGCAGCATTGGGACATAGCTCTGGTGGCAAAAGAAACTTCAAATCATCACTTCAGCCATGGGCCTTCAGGGTCTGGTGTTTTTCAGGTCAAGGTTTGTGTTTCTATTCGGTTTGCATAGTGGTGGATTGCGGACCTTCGCCGTTTGTCGCTTCAACTGGTTTGTCGAGCACCAAGCATGCCAAGCTGACAAGCCCTAGCGTAGTGTTTCCCGCTGACTTTCCGTAGGCCCTATAACTACAAACCTAAACTATCTAGCCGGAAGCCCAAGCCCCAGTGTGCATGTCGCACGCCCGAATTTCGGGATGAGAAAACTCATAATCTGCCCAGCGATGCCGAGCCCAAACTCGCTTCGAGGCCTGAAGCCTTCAACCCGTAACCGATCTTTCCAACAGAATAAGCACCAATCTTGAGCCCCAGCCCAGACATCGAACCAATCCGAAGCTCGGACACCTGAGTATCGAACCCAAATGATTCAGGGGATCAAGGGTCTTTAGTTTCGGCTTCAGAGGACCATGGGTTGCTATGACCCGTTCGGCTAACTTCACTAGCCTATCCAGCCTTCCCACTGTCTGAGCCTCCCTGTAGTACGCCCGTCAATGACTCGCAACTAGTGGCGTTCATAATCATAATATTTCTGTTGCCAATACTGTCGATTACGGTGTTGATGTGGATGGCTATGAAGACAAGACTGATGATGATGACGATGGTGATCCTGATAACAATAGAGATGATGATGACGATGAACTGACGATGGTGATGACAGTGATTGTAAGGATGATGCAAAGCGCTAACCATGGTGACGACGATGCTGAACACAATGATGATGATGATGATGTAGATTAAGATGAAGATAAAGATGAAGACATAAAGATGCAGATGACGATCAATGTAAGATGCTGATGATGATGATGATGATTACGGTGAGTGCGATGACGATGACAGTATGTGCGCGTCCTGAGCATCAGCATACTAACACACACACCCACAGTTTGCGGCGTTTCCTGTTTACTTGCGGCGTTTCTTCTTCTGTAGCTTCTACCAGAAACTTCTTTCGGCAGAAAAAAATAACGGAGGCAGAAAAGATAAGTTGAGGCAGAAATAAACGCCGCAATGCAATGAGGCGGAAATTTCCGCCGCAGGAGGTTACAGGTATGTAGGTTCCACATGAACCGGCAACAATGAAGGGCCTAAATCCCCCCTCCTTAACCCTAAGGATCGCAACCTTACAGTATCCTCATCTTACTGTGCCCTTTTGGCGCCCTTAATAGTACCCTTACAGCAACCTTATAGTAACCCCTTAGCAGCACCCATACAGTATCCTTCTCAAGTAACCTGAACCCTTGACCTTATAGCATCCTTGTAGTGCCAGTTCGGTGCTCCCTTACTAGCAGAGCACCCTTACAGCATCCTTTTGGTAAGCCTAAACCCTATACCCTAGCAGGGAGACTCGTCGTCTCGCGTTTTGGAGGCATGGGAATTGGGAGGTAAGCAATCGGGTGCTTTCGTATGCAACTAAGCTTTCAACTGCACACACACACAGACACACAGAAACACAGACACACAGACACACACACACACACACACACACACACACACACACACACACACACACACACGCCAAACCCCCCCACCGCCACCAGGCTCTCAAACTCCGCAGCTGTGGGCCCATACCCTACAATCTTAATCTGGTTAATGCATAAACTCAAGCTTAAAACCTCAATAAACCCCACACCCTAAAACCAGCCTTCTGCAACTCTGAGTCCGTGTTGTAGAACAAGGTTCGATCCTGAGAAAGAAAACCGTTTTAGGGTTTAGGGTATAGGGCATAGAGTTTAGGGTATAGGGTATAGGGTTTAGGGCATAGTACAGGGTATAGCGTTTGGTGTGCAGGGTTTACCGAGGGCTTCGGGTTTCGGAGAACCCCGCACCCCAAGCTCAAGCCCGAAACGAGTATCTGCTTTGGAATAGTGATTCCTTGAAGGGTGGGGGTCTCTGAGGTCGGCATAGGGCATAGGGGTTGCCAGCAGAGTTTGGTGCCGGTTTGAGGCAGGTGATATGGGAGCTTCCGAAAATTAGGGGTACCTTGTTTTGGGGTCCTTATAATCAGGATCCTACTATTTAGGGTACTATATTTGGGTCCCCCATTTTCGGGAACTCCCATATTATTCTGTCAGGCATTGACATGAAGCCGTGATCAGCACACACCAAGCCCCAGAAGCGTAAGGAGCAATGCTTGTGCTGTCAGGGATGTGCCTTAACCTACTTGCTTCTGGCTTGCAGATGTGGAAAATGCTTCCAGGATGCGAGAACACGAAACCTGTGGCTTATAGTTTAATGTCAGGTTTAGGAGTGGCTTTCGTGCTTCTAGTTTCGAGCTTCTGGGGCTTATGCCCCGAGAATCCAATATCCCTTAATTAAGGAATATACCTTGAATCATATAAGGGATCCTACAGTAATTTAAGGTATATTCCTTAACTAAGGGATATTGGAGTCTCTGGGTGCATGGTTCTACTAGGCCTTGGTTGGGTTTAGCCGAGACATAGGCCCAGATAGGCTTCTATTCTGTAGTCTTGGGATGGTGCCCCTCGTGTCTGTTGAGGTTGACGTGGCAGGCTTGAGAGAAATGATTAACCCTAGGGATCTAAGGACTCATATATTAAGGCTTTTGGGCCCAAAGACCATACTATATAAGGCTTTTGGGCTATTTTGATCCCTAGGGTAAGAAGGTCGTACTGCTATCTGAAGATGTCAAGTTTTGTGGCCGGGGTGTTGCTTCGGCAAGGGCTTGGGGTGGAGATCCAGATCTCTGCACTTTGTCAGACGACGTTGTATAGCATCCATCAACCGAAGCCCAAACCCTCAAATCAAAACCCAGCCACCCCCAAACTCTAAGAGTACACTATAAATTAGCCCCAAAGGGTGCAAAGTACCAATATAGTAGAATGTAGGGTTTCTATATTAGTAATTGCTGTTATGATTTGGGGAAGTATTCCCTATAACAGTACCTAGGACCCTTAGGAGCTCACTGCGACTTGAACCCCAAGTAACCTACCTTTTTAAGGACTTATATAAACAAGGCATGTTAGGGAAACCTAAAAAGGTAGGTTCCTTAGGGTCCAGGAAGAGTACACTATAAATTAGCCCACTACGACTTCAAGACTGCCAATTTGCATACCTGACTCGGCTGAGAGCTCGACCGTCACCCCCGGGAAAGCATCGCGGCCCGCCACGATGTGGAGGAAGTTGATCGGAACGGATCCCTTGCTGCCTTACGTAGCGGTCAGCAACATCAGAAAATCTGAATTCGGAGCGTTTCAGCCCGGCAATCTCGAACTATTGTGTCTGGCCATACACCCAGAATCCATGGGCAGCCCAATCAGAATTCGTAAGCCCCCGAGCCCGAAGCCCTGAACCCCCAAAATTTAATCTGCTGCTATAAAGCCCTAGCACTGAATCCTGAGCCTACGCCCTTCCGGATGTGGATCTGCAGAAGCTAAGAAGCATTAGGGCTTAGGGGTTTGTTATGACGTGAATACCGAGAAACCCCGAGGACTAACATTACTAGTTATTCAGGCTTCCACATTGTTGCCATGATGTTTTCTACCTAGTGAACCCTTCCAAGACCATGACAAAAAGCACCCGGTGATTGCCGTAACCTTCAAGTCTGTGGCGATGGTAGCCCATTATAACACCAATATAGGATAGCTGCATAACGTTCCCTTATGTACAGTTCAAGCACAGCCTAGCGGTGATTGCCATGGAGATCCTTTACGTCTGTGGCTATGGTAGCCCATGCTAACCCTAACATAGGGAAAAACATATCCCCATCTGGCCCCGTATAGTTCTACTAGGCCCTACCCAGAGGCCCCAAAGTAGTTCCTTTCTGGGATTACCCAAAAGAATTACACACATGAACCCCAAAAAAGCAACTACTTTGGGGCCTTTGGGTAGAGCCCCAGATCCCGGACTTTCTCCCACAAGGCCCCGGCTGCCGTGCAAGGACACCAGCGGGCCTCGGTAGAAAGAGGGTTACTTAATGGATCATGGGACTTAGTAAGTAAGGTTATGAGTACCTTAATTGGGGTTATAAGTAGTTATAAGTATAGTTACCATTAGCGGTCAAATGTAGGGTTTGTCGGTTAGGGTTCCCAGAGACTCCGATATCCCTAATCAAGGAATATACCTAGGGTTCCTTTAA